CACCCCATGTTCATTGAGCACTGTTGATAATAGCAAAGCAATGGAAACCACCTGCGTGTCCATCGATGGGTGAATGGAACAATCAATTCATCGATGGGTGAATGGAACAATCAATTGTGATACATATACAATGGAAAATTACTTAGCTGTAAAAAAATATTGAAATCTTGCCATTTGCGACAATATGGATGGATCTCTGGGGTATTATGTGAAGTGAAATAAGTCAGAGAAAGACAAATACCATATGATTTCATTTATATGTAGAATCTAAAGAAAAAACCCCACAAATTCATGAATACAGGGAACAGATTGGTGGTTGTTGAAGGGGGGGTGAGTGGGGGAGAAATGAGTGAAGGGGGTCAAAAGGTTAAAAATAAAAAAAAAACAGGTGAATAATGCATTTAGTTATAAAGAACAAAACTGCAGCCATGTGAAAGAGAAGAAACAAAGTTCTGGCTATAGTAGCATTATTAAACTCTCCTCCTATGAGCTCAGGAGTTTGTTCTGCCCTTAGGACCATCATGCTTCTTTCTTACTGAATCACTCATTCCTCAGATCTCTGCCTGTGGGTCTTCATAAATAACATCTCAGTTTCCCTGTCACCTCCTAAAGTAGGACTCCAGCCCTCTCCTTCAGGCACTCTTTATCAGATCCTTCATTCTGTGTAATTTTCTTCATAGAACTCATCACAATGTGCAGACCTCATATTTCTCATTAAACATCCTTTTTGCTGGTGGTTTGTATGTTTCCTTCACTAAGGATAAGCTTTTGGAGATAGAGGCTATGTCTGGCTTTTTCACTCCTGCCCCCAACCCCCCGCCTAAAGCAACAAGAGGGGCCCATTTATATCTGATTGGACGGATTGATGCATAAATGAATCAAAGGAACAGCAATTCACTTGACCACAATGGGCCTGTTTCATTAAACATAAATTAGAGCTATGAGTATTTTCTCAAGCTTCCCTTGGAACACTACATAGACATTCTTAATATTAGGAAGTCAAAGTGAATAATTGCATTCAGCTCTTAGTTTTCTGAAAATTCTGAGGATGTCCATGTCTGTTCTGCTTCCTCCTGGTCCATGCAGTGGGTCATTGATCTGCTAAAACACGAAGAGCATGGGCTTTGGAGTCAGACCTGAATTCTATTCCCTGCTTTGACACTTAACAGTTGTGCTGCTTTGAACAAGTTACTGAATTTGTTCAAGCCTCAGTTTCCTCTTATTTAAAAATGGAATGATATTAGTATCTACCAAATGAGATTTGGGGTTAGAAGATACAATGTATGTGTACTCTATGATACACAGCATGAACAGGGTGTTGTGGGGGGAAAAAGAAAGAGAGAGAGAGAGGATCAGCAAAAGGGATCTGGAGACAGCCCATGCAGAATACTCTTTCAGAGAGAGTGACTGGAGGAACTTGCAGGAGTGGGGAGGCTGAGTTATAGGACAAAGAGGAAATTTGATGTTCTTGTTATATGAGAGATATAATATGCTCATCATCTGTAGATGGAACCCTGCAAAGAGGGAGAGCTAGAAAATACCTATTGAATGTCTATTCTAAAAGACACAGAAAGGGATCAGATCAAGGATATGGGAGGATCACCGGCATTCTTCATAGAGCTAGAACAAACAATCCTAAAATTTGTATGGAATCACAAAAGACCCCTAATAGCCAAAGCAATTCTGAAAAAGAAAAACAAAACTGGAGGCATCACGAATCCGGATTTCAAACTGTATTACAAAGCTGTAGTCATCAAGACAATATGGTACTGGCACAAAAACAGACACATAGATCAATGGAACAGAATAGAGAATCCAGAAATGGACCCTCAACTATAGGGTCAACTAATCTTTGACAAGGAAAGAAAATCCAATGGAAAAAAACACAGTCTCTTCAACAAATGGTGTTGGGAAAAGTGGACAGCAACATGTGGAAGAATGAAACTGGACCACGTACTTACACTATACACTAAAGTAGACTCAAAGTGGATGAAAGACCTAAATGTGAGATAGGAAACCATCAAAATCCTAGAGGAGAACACAGGCAGCAACAACCTCTTCAAACTTGGCCATAGCAACTTATTAGACAAGTCACTGGAGGCAAGGGAAACAAAAGCAAAAATGAACTAATGGGACTTCATCAAGATAAAAAGCTTCTGCACAGCAAAGGAAACAATCAACAAAACTAAAAGGCAAAATGGGAGAAGATATTTGCAAACAACGTATCTGATAAAGGCTTAATATCCAAAATCTATAAAGAATTTACCAAACTCAACACCCAAAAAATAAAGAACCCAGTTAAGAAATGGGCAGAAGACATGAATAGACACTTTTCCAAAGACACACAAATGACTAACAGATACATGAAAAGATACTCAACATCACTCATCATCAGGGGAATACAAATCAAAACCATGATGAGATACCAGCTCACACCTGTCAGAATGGCTAAAATTAACACAAGGCAGATGCTTAACCAACTGAGCCATCCAGGTGCCCACCTAAGTGACTCTTAATGATAGAGAACAAACTGAGGGTTGATGGAGGGAGGTTCATGGGGGATGGACTAGATGGGTGATGAGTATTAAGGAGGGCACTTGTGATGAGCACTGGGTGTTGTATGTAAGTGATGAATCACTGAATTCTATTCCAGAAACCAGTATTGCATTGTATGTTAACTAAAAAATTAAATAAAGTTTAAAAAAAGAAAAGAATATAGGAGGACAATTTTTTAAATGGGAGACTGCTTGCTTGAAACTAGAAGAAAAATGTGATTTTGAAGGTAGATACATAAATCTAAAAGATTTTGAATTGTTCCTAGAAGTTCCAGTGACTTCTGCGTAATATATGCATAGTGAAAAAAAAAACACTTCTGGTCAAAAGAAAACACTTTTAATGACCTTATTTAACATTAGGACAGAGATCAGAGAAGGATCTTTTCCAAGGATGATCAAGTTAAATTTTAAGCAAAAGATCAGCAGAGATCAGGGCATATTGGGGACAAACATAGCTTGAGGTGTCTTCTGAGAATGAACCCATTCTTCTTTCTCTGAGAATGATCCAACCCCTCTCCTCAGAGGAGTTTGTACCGTGGATCTTGTGCCTCTGGTCATGGTACATCAGACTGGGATGGACACCTGCCCCAAGTTTGGGCATTCATTTGTTTTTCCAAGAATTTAAAATTGTGATTGGGAAATAGTGTTGGTGGTGGGTAGAGCTGAGGTGATCACAAAATCGGGAGCTGCAGGTGGACGTGTTAGCTGAAAAGGATAGTCCTCAGAGGCAGAATAATATGGTTAATGCAGCTAACATGCAGAGGGACAACACAGGCCATATGGCCCAGAGAGAGAGCAAGAAATGCTGTTCTAGATTCTACTGGCTTTTCAGTTCTGCATTCTGTTCCCTGTAAGGCTTGGCTAAAACCCACCCTTGGGTTCAGGGCACCACTCCTATGTCTTTATTGTAAATATCCTCTCCTTATATCTGTGATCATCTTAAGAGGGTTTCTGTTACTGGCAAACAAAAGCCTTGACTAGGACAATCCTCCCCCACTTCCAACAGGGTCCTCTGGCCATTCTTTCAACTTATTCTCCCTTGGGAAATCTACAGTGTCTTCATGATCTCTTGGTTTCCTTCTTCTCTAGGACCAAATTCTCACAGTGCCAAATCCCATTTTGCCCCTACTTACTTGTATCTTCCTCAACTTTTATGCCTAAAAGACCCAGGTTCTCCAGAAAGCCTTCCTGGACCCCCTCCAACCTCAGGGATCCCCCTTCTTCCAATAGCATCAGGCTCTGTCAGTGGGTCCCAGTTATCAGACCATAGTCTAAGTCCAGGATGGCTGCGTCAGCATCATCTGGAGCTCGTTAAAAATTGCAGACTGCTACCACTCTCCCCACCCCTCAAGGTTCTAATTCAGTAGATCTGGGTGAAGCCTGTACTTTTTTAAAGGCTCCCAAGTGATTCTCATGTACATTTCAGTTTGGAAACCACTAAGAGATATCCACCTGAACTCTCTCTAAAACTGTGACCAGGTCTTCTACTGATACGACTGACCCCAGGTTAAGGAAGTAACCCTCTCTTTTTTTTTTTTTGAGATTTTTTTTTAATTTTATTTATTTGTCAGAGAGAGAGACACACAGAGAGAGAGAGAGAGAGCACGCACAAGCGGGGGGAGAGGCAGGTAGAGGGAGAAGCAGGCTCTCCGTGAAGCAAGGAGCCAGATGCGGGACTCAATCCCAGGACCCCGGGATCATGACCCAAGCCAAAGGCAGATGTTCAACCTACTGAGCCACCCGGGCGTCCCAGGAAATAAGCCTCTTATCTAAGCCTTGGACCTCTCTTTGTCATGCCTGGGACTCTAGGGGATGTAGAAAAAGGAGATGACATTGTAAATCATGGCTGGATATGTATGGCTTCTTCATTACAGAGTAAATCGGGACAAGAGCAGAATTCCCACGAACGTTTCCGTTCTTGAAAACTCCTTTGGGGGCAAATCTGAATTCAGTAAGTAAATTTCAAGAAGTCCTTGTGAAATGGCCCATTCACAACTAACACACAATGGATGACTCAAATGGAACAAGACATAACTGAATTGGCCTGAGGATGGCTGCCAGTCCCCAGTATGAAATGGTCCTGCTCAATGGTCATCACCTGGAATCCCCTCTTCTAGGTTCCTAGCATCCCTCACACCCTGGGAAAATTGGCCAGGACCTTGTAGGAAGGATACAGTACAAACACCATTTACTGCTGCTAGCCAGAGCTTTGGGTAGAGCAAGAAAAGGGTAAGTGTGTGTTGGGGGTGAGAAGGGGAGCTAGTTGCTGCCCCACAAGTCCTGCGATGAGTACCAGGTCTAAAAGAGGAGACCTATAGCACAGGGTTTGATCCCATCCAAAGTCAGCGCAGTAGGGATATACTTAGTAGACTGAGGCACTGAGTATGCAAGGGCTGTCAGAAACTTGCCATGAATCCATACAGCGTCTCCCACAATCTTTCTTTCTTAGAAGGTTCATTACCTAAAGTGGTAAAAAGCATATGAACAAGGTTGTTCAAGCTCACATTGCTGGGATCCTATCTCTGATCGCCCACCTTCCCAAAACCTCACCCCCTCATCACCTCTGCTCTTCTATTCTCTGCCTGCTACTTGTCTATGTCACCCTTCCCTGACCCCAGTGCTCCCCAAAGAATGATCCTCCACCCATCCTGTTCAGAGCCACCCACTCTCCTGCCCCCAGATGCCTGGGGCCTCTGTACCTGCGGGCTCTGGACAAGCATGTGCCTCTGATGATGAGGATGGTGCCCACAAGGAAGCCCACCAGGCCGAGAGCCAGGCCAACAGCACAGATCAGAGTCTCGGTGGTGTCTGGCACTGGGATAGGCACCTGGGGCTCTTGGGGGAGAGAGAAAGGGTCAGGGAGGTCCAGTGAAAGGAAACATGGGTCTGTGGAGAGTGAGCTGGGGAGAGGCTCCTACCCCAGTGCTTGAGGAGCGGCTCATCCAGGCCCCAGTGCTCCACCTTGCAGTCATACATGTCGTCTGCAGAGGGCACGAAGGTCAGGTAGCAGAACTTGCGGAACAGATGGTCAGGCTGGGAATAGAAGCTGGTCTGGGCCACCCCCTCGCTGATTATTTGACCATTGCGCAGCCAGGTGATATTGATCACAGGAGGGAAGATGTTGTCCACAATGCAGATGAGGACGTTGGGCTGGCCCGGCTCCACTCGAAACTTGGGGAGTACAGTCACTCTCGGAGGCACTAGGAAGAATGAGGCCCTGAATCCCAAAGGCTCATCCCTGCAGCTGGGCCTGATTAGGACTGGGATTGTGGGACGTTTCCTTCTATCTAGCCATTTGCAGGCAGGGGATGCTCTGGGATGTAACAGGCGGGGGCAGGGGGAGGGGGCAGACGAAGAGGCTGACAGGGGGAGTGGGGGCACCAGGGGCTCCTGTATCTGACAGGTCCGTGAGGGGGCATCAAGGTGGAAGGGCCAGTCCTCAAGAGGGAAGAGGAGGAAGAGGGTGCTGAAGGGGTCTGGGAAGATCTCGAGCCTCCTGGAAAAGAAAGGGGCTGAATACAATGGTCACAGAGGCTGAGAGAAAGGTGTGCCAGAGTAGATGGAGGCCCGTGAGGTGGGAAGAAGCTTCTCTGGGCCCCTCCTGCCTAACACAGGGGAGGGAGTGAGGAGAGGAGGGTACCGGTGGTGGCTCTGGTGCGGTTGGAGCGTTCCACCAAGACATCCAGATGGGCTTTGATCACCGCGATGCTGGCCAGTCCATTCTGTGGGTCAAAGTGGGCCAAGTTGCCAAACTCAGGCAAACGCCACACGGCCTCCCTCTTCTTCAGTTCCACAGAGAACAGCTGTTCCCCATCAAATTCATGGGCAAACTGACCCGAGGCACCATAGGATTGGTAGAAGGCTGGTCCATAGGAGCCCATGTGATCAGCTGTATTGGGTGAGTTCAGGATCAGAGACAGAAAAGAAAATGTATCAATCTCATCGAAAGCATGTGATATGTTGAATCTCTGAGCCTATGCCCCATCCTGGGTTCTCCGTGCGGACAGAGTTGACTTGTTGAGCTGGTCCTTGGACAGTGGAAGGGTTGCTGGGGGGTAGAAGGGAGAGGACAGAGGGAAACAGGCACAGGCCCTACACTGGCAGGAACAGAGACATGAGTGCAATCTGGTATACCAGGTCAGGAAGAAGAGAGGCTGCCTAAAATCATGCTTGGGATCCCCAAAGTTAAGTGGTAGCCATGATCATCAGCTCTAGCTGTGCTCTGAGGTCCTGTGTGTGAGATGAGTGGTATGAGGGGCTGGGATGAGGGAAGATGATTAAGGATGGGAGCATAAGTGGAACCTGGGGCACAGAGACACAGTGTAGGTGGGCACGAGGGGAGGATAGGTGACGGGTGACAGAAGTAAGCATTAAGATCTGTGACAGAGACCAAGCAGATAGGAAAGGCAGCCTGAGGTATGGCAGAGAGCACTGGAAAAGGAGCCCAAAGTTCAAGTCAAGTTTATGCCCCAATTCTTTCACCTCAGATTATGATCAAATGTGTCTCTTTTCATAACTGAGGCTCATTTTTTTGGAAATTTGGGTTAGACTTTAATTGGTAAGTGACCTTTCGAATTCTATGAAATTATAAGTTCAACAGCCATTAAGGGACTACTATGTGCCCAGCACCATACCAGGCCCCAGGGAAATACAGATAAACCCGTTCTAGATCCCTCACACAAGAAGCTCATGTCTAGAGCAGGCTAAAGACAGATGAACAGTTAACTATCCACATGGTGGTAAATACCACAATAAAACTGGACTTGAATGGGCACACTCCAAGCCAGGAAGTGGCAGAGAAATCACTGTGCTGGGCAGCAGGAGGATGGAGGTTTGGGTCTCAGAAAGAAGGAATGAATTGAGGAGGCACCTGAACCTGAAAGAGTTTGAATCTGTAGCCGGCATGGCTGGCCAAGGCTGCACTTGTATATTTTAGGTCCGCAATGGACGTGATAGACGTGAGAGAGAATGGGGCTCTCTTAGTAAAGGAAGTTGCCCATGAAGCAGAGAAGAACAATCTATGTTCTCTACTGTCTCTCGTGTAACCCTAAATCTCTCCTCACCCAATCCCCCTCCGCACTCACCCTTGATGGCCCCAGTTTCGTGGGGGCTCAGGAGGCTCATCAAGGTGTGGAGTCCCAGGACTAGCCCCCCACTGAGGACCATTGCCCTGGTGCTTTAACCGAGTAATTCTGGGTGTGGGGCCGCCCGCCTTTGAAGGTAAAGGAAAGAGGAAGGAAACCGACTCTGGGATGGGGGAAGACCTCTGCTGTATTCAGCCAATCAGAGACATTCTCTGAGTTTACGTAGCTGTTGCCGGGTAAAGTAGTAAGGAGCCTAGGTAGACGGTGTTAGGATGCCCTGAGCCCTCATTGCACCAGGGAGGCCTGGTCCACAGGAGAGTCAAAAGGAGGTTTCCGTGTGGGAGGTGTCAGGGGCTTAAATCAACCATTACTACAAACTCCAAGAAGAGATCCCCTGAAGGGAGAGAAAAGGCCATCAGAGAACCACACAACTAAGCTCAAACAAAGCCTCTATTTTGATCTGTGGTGGAGAGAATCCCAGTCTCCCTGTAAGTTTCTACAGACAAATTTGGAGCCAAAAAATAATATAAACTGTACTGAGAAACTTTAAAAAGGAGATCGTGGATACACAGTAGAATTAAAATCCTTTAAACCTTTAAATCACTTTGGAAAATATTACTTTATTTCATTGTGTGAGAAAAAAATGTGTAATTGTCAGAGATGTTTAGAATAAGGAAGAACTGTAAGGAGCCTTAGCGGACTGTTCTAAGGAGGGCAGAGGGTGCTGGATAATATCTATTTGTCCCTCCAGGCCCCCTGGGCACCCTTCTCCATGCTCCTTGCAGGCTAACCCATGTGGACAGCATCTCCTTTCCCTCCGGCTTCTGGTTGGGCTCAGCCAATGGGAGGCATGGGCAGAATTTGGTCCAATATGAAAAATATATATAAAGCTAACCATCTCTCCAGATAAGGAAAATCTAACCAAATATCTGAAAACAATTTCTGAAAGATCATGAAATAAATGATTTTCAGCTTGGAAGGGAAGTAGGACATCATCTGAATTGATGGTTTTAAACCTGGCTACACAGAAGAATCACCTGGGGAGTTTGTTAAAAATACAGATTCCTGGGGCACCTGGGTGGCTCAGTCGGTTAAGCATCTGACCTGATTTTGGCTCCAGTCATGATCTCAGGGTCACGAGATCAAGCCTTGAGTCATGCTGAATGCAGAGCCTGCTGGAGATTCTCTCTCTCTCCCTCTGCCCCTCCCACTTCTCTCCCTTTCTTAAAAAATTAATTAATTAATTTAATTTAAAAAAATACAGATTCCTCGGTTCCATCCTGACCTGAGTTAAAGTAGCCTTTTCAAGGGTAGGACCAGGAGACCTGGGTTAGTAGCACACTCCCTAAGTGAGCACCACTGCAACTGAAAAGAACTATGCTACCAGCCTTGCAGACAAGAGAGAGCCTGCGGAAGGATCTTAAGAAGATCTTACAGCTTTGGACCAGAAACCACATGCCATTTCTACCCACATTCCATCCACAGGAATTAAACAATGATGCTGCCTGAGTACAACAGGGCCGGAAAAATGTATTTTAGGTGTGTGTTCAGGAAGATGTAGTGGTCTGGTGAGCACACAGCACTATCTTTGCCCCATCCCAGCTCTACTTATTGTGATTATTGACATATTTGAACTTGTTTCTAATATTTTATTTATTTCAATATTTCTGTTTTTTTAATTTTCCTTCCTTCATCGTCTTAAAAAAAAAAAAAGTGTTGTCTATATGTTACCGATCTTCCCTCTAACCAGGTAAGAACTTTAGCGTGCTTTCAAATTATTCATATACTTCCTCTCTTCTTCACCAAGGTGTTTGATCAAGTTTACTTCTCCTCCTTTTTGGCACCTCCTGACATTTTTTTCTCTTATTGGAATACTTCTTCCAAAAATGTGTTGAGTATTTTGTGGCAAATCTTCTGAAGTTTTGTATACTTGAGAATATTTCTGTTATAGCGTCACTTTTGAATAATGTTTAGTTATGTATTAATTTCTATGTTTAGGGACTCCTGGGTGGCTCAGTCGGTTAAGTGTCCAATTCTTGCTTTTCAGCTCAGGTCATGATCTCACACAGTCCTGGGACTGAGCCCTGCCTGCATCGTGCCCACACTCAGCACGGAGCCTGCTTGAGATTCTCATTCCCTCCCCCTCTGCTCCTCCCCCTAATCTCCCTCTCTCTCAAATAGATACATAAAATATTTAATAAATAAATAAATTCTAAGTTTAAATGTTTTATCTTCCTTCCTTCTTTCCTTCCTTCTTTCTTTCTTTCTTTCTTTCTTTCTTTCTTTCTTTCTTTCTTTCTTTCTTTCTTTCTTTCTTTCTTTCCTTCTTTCTTTCTTTCTTTCTTTCTTTCCTTCTTTCTTTCTTTTCTACAACTAACACACACTGAGTGGTATTTGGGTTTTCTGTGCTTGACGCCTGTTCAATTGCCGCTGTTGCCCTTGGTTTGTTTTCTTTCAGGATCAAGGTGGGTGCTTTCATGTAAAATCTGATTTTTAATTCCTTTTCTGGCAATTCTTTCCTGGCATCTTAGCTTTGCATAATTATACCCACAGTGGAACCAGCATCTTCAAGTCACCAAGATAAATCCTCTGACTCCAATATCACATGATCTCATTCTGCTAGTTAACAAAAAATGTCCAAGGCCAGCCACAACAAAGCCTAATGAACCACACAATATCGAATCCTACGCATAGGGAATGTTTTCAACATCTAAAATTCCTGGGAGTAAAGGGCTAGAATAAAATTAAAAAGAGCCCTGCCCTTGGCGTTCTCGCTGGGCTCAGGTGTGGTGGCCTCGGGCTCCAGGGAGTGCCTGCGGCCCCACCCCGCCAAGGATTTTTTCTCTTTAATATTTTCAATAATATCATCCAAATGTCTTATTGCATCCAGTGTTGTAGTTAGAAAATCTGATATCAGTCTCTCTCTCTGGAATCTTAGAATTTTCTCATTGCCTTTGATCTTCGAAATTTGTATCTAAATTTTTATGTAAATTTACATTTAAATTTGTATCTAAATTTACAATTTGTAAATATTGTATCTAAAATGGGTTTTTCCTTCTCTTGCTATAGGACATTATGGATCCCCTGTATATTTTCATTCTGGGAATTCACCTTTTTATTTCTGCAAATCTTTCCTCCACTCTGCTTTAATTTTTTTTCTCTTTGTGAAATTCCTATTATCCCTATTCGGGCATTTCTCTCCCCAGTCTCTTTTGACTTCTCTATTTCAACTTCTTCCTTCTGATATCTTTTACTCTAGGAGAGTTCTTCAGTGTAGTCCTCCCACTTACTCATTTGTTTTTCTGTTGTATCTCTCCCATTATTTATTCCCATTAGTGGGATTTTTATTTTGACTTTCATATTTTTTCATGCCTAGAACTTCTATATAGCTTTCTCTGTATTCCTTATCTTTTTTCATATTATAATAGCTTTTCTTATTTTTTAATGCATTTTTCATGCTCATTTTAAGAGGCTATTCTATACTTTCTGATACTTCTTTAAGGACACATATGGACCTATTTTTTGTTTTTCTTTCAAGGTGTGCAATTCCCCAAAGGGAGGGAGTTATAATTTTGGCCTTTGGGTGCCCATCTACATCAGTGTAAAGAGGGGGAAGGGCCCAAGTTCTAGGACAGCACAAAACCAGTTACCACCGTTTTGGTGTCACCTTACTGGTGACAGCTCAGGTCAGGGTTTTGGGCTACGGAGCCCCGGGAGGGGCCGGGCCTCTCTCTGAGTCAGCCCCAGGGTAGACGGAGTGTGGAAGAGTGAATGACCCCAGCCTCAGGTGCATCTATTGTTCTCTACCCTCCCTGCTCCAGCAGGGATTTCAACCTAGACTTTCTCCCCAACCCTCTACCGCTGCATGAGCAATCAGGATCTTGCCCCTGTTTTTTGCATTATGGGGCAGGCAATAATTGGTCAAGGGCAACACCAGGGAGAAGCAAGAGCAGACTACCTTTAATAAATCTCACAGCGAGCAAGCCACGCTAAAACAACTGACAGTCTCTAGGGAATCCCCTGGAGTTTCCCTCCACGCTTCTCCTGGGTGGTTTTTCAGTTGGGAACCAAGAACACATGTTAATTTATCCTGACAGGAAGCAGGTCTGTCCGTTATTTCCCTATAACATTTATGTATGAACTACATCCCCCCTATATAGAAATACTAAGGGGTCGTAGTTCATTGACTCTTTGTTATGTAATCCCATCTCTCCTCCGGATGCTAGCACAGTATTAAATAAACACTTTTCAAATAAATAAATAGATGATAACAAATAAAAATCAATGAAGTGGGGGCGCCCGAGCAGCGCAGTCAGTTAAGCCTCTGACTCTTGGTTTCCACTCAGGTCTGATCTCAGGGTGGTGAGATAGAGCCCCGCATTGGGCTCTGTGCTCAGTGCCGAGTTTGCCTGGGACTCTCTCCCTCCCCCACCCCTCACCACTCCCCCTGCCCCTCCCCCGCCCCTCCCCGCCACTCCCGCGTGTGCCTTTGAGCGCTCTCTCCCTCTTTCTCTCAATCAAATAAATAAATAAATCTAAAAAAAAAAAAATCAATGAAGTGAATACCAGTGGTTCTAGGGAGAGACATTCCAGTCCTGGAAACAAATACTAAAAATAAGTACGGGCTCAACAGATTGTTGAGTCAAGTGCCTGCTCTTTGAATATGACATAAATTCAGTTACTCTAAATTGTCTAAAACACTGAATTTGAGATAAATGTAGTTGTATCCACCATGTTCTCTGGAGCATAAGTTGAGGTAGGTGTTAGGACATATTATTCATTCAACACATATTTATGAAACACCTACTATGTCCTGGGGACACAGAAAAGAACAGGACAAGGCCCCTTCCTCCTAGGACCGGGCCGTCCAATACAGTCACCACCTGCCACAGGTGGCCATTGACCACTTGTAATATGGCCAGTCCTGAGATATACTGTAAGTAGAAAACCACTAGATTTCAAAGACTTTGTAAAAAATATATGTATTATATATATTTAAAATTATATATACAAATATATATAATCTTAATAGTTTTTATATTGATTGATGGTTAATTGGTAATATTTTGGATATGTTGAGTTTTTAAAATATATTATTAATTTCACTGTTTATTACTTTTTTTTTCTTTAAATTT